CAGCATCCAACATCTGCAGCATCCAACATCTGCAGGGTTCTTGTAGGAGCGTTCATGTAAATAATGTCACCGTAATCAATGGAGGGAAGGAAAGTCACAGATACAAGGTGTTTCCTAACATTCAGGGTTAGTTAGCTAGGTTTTCCACATGGAGCTTAAAAGAGAGATGTGAGTCGAGCAAGATACCCAAATATTTATAGGAATCAACAAACTCAATGGGGACACCATTTGAGGATGAGATCAGAGGAAGAACTGCTGGGACCAACTTCCTGTTTGAAAAAAGCATCCCTTTGGTTTTGTCGGCGTTCAGGACAAGTCATGAAATCAAGCCCTCGTTTGATTCTGAAACAGGATGTAAAACATTTTTGTGAGCAAGCTTTCCATCATGATTTATGGTTGTTTGATGATGTAGAATTGGCGTGGAAATATTTTTATGATGCTTTTAACTTTTTTATTAATAAACATATTCCTCTTCGTAAATTTGGAGTAAAGGATAGAAATAATCTCCGGTTCACGGCTGAGCTGTCTAATTTGTTAAAAGATCGAGATCATGCTTGGGCCAAGGCCAGGCATTCTAAAACTCAAAATGATTGACTGGTATTCAAGAAATTGAGAAATCACTTTACCTCCCTTGTTAAAAAGGCAAAATCCCAGTTTTATATTGATAAAACTACTCAAAATTTAAATGATCCAAAGAAATTTTGGAAAGTGATTCAATCCTCATTCAGAGATGAAATATCTAACGAATTACCTTCCTGTATTATTAAGGATTCACAAAACGTAACTGACAAAGGATCTTTTCTTAACTGTTTGAATGAACATTTCATTTAATCAGGATCCTGGTTTGAATCACTGCTTCCACAAAGGCTAAATGTGCAAGAAGATTTCTCTCAGGCACACTTGAGTGATTCAGTTCAAGATTTAGTTTTGCCCCTTTTGATGTAACTGAAGTTCATAGAACTTTACAACAATTAGATTCTTGTAAATCCACTGGACCTGACAAACTCGAGCTCTTTTTTTTGAGGGCAGCTGCAGACTTTATAGCAGAACCTCTACTTTACATCTTTCACTTAACTCTTGCTGAAAATAAGATTCCCTGGATATGGAAATCTTCCTATGTCCTTCCCTTGTTAAAAGGTGTCAATCCATCTGTAGGCAACAACTACAGACCGATCTCTAAATTGTGTGTACTTTCCAAAGTTCTGGAAAAATTGATCGCAGAACAGCTGAAAACATTTCTAGATTCAACAGGCCTACTCTCAGAACACCAATCAGGTTTTTGAAAAAAGCACAGTACAACTACTGCTACTCTTAAAGTGGTAAATGACATTATAGATGCCATAGATGGCCGGAAATATTGTGCAACTCTTTCTGTTGACCTTTCTAAAGCGTTTGACACTAGATCATGTCATCCTGATGAATCGACTCTATAAAAGTGGGTTATCTGTCCAGGCTGTTAACTGGCTCTCCAACTATTTATCTGATAGAACTCAATGTGTCCAAGCGGCTGGGTCTTGTTCCTCCGTCCTTCCTATTTTAAAGGGAGTGCCTCAAGACTCCTTACTAGGTCCTTTGTTGTTCACAATTTATGTAAATAATTTGTGCGATAACTTGCCCGATGCTAAAGCTCATCTATATTCTGATGACACAGTTATTTATTGCTCATCATCTTCAGTTTCACAATCATTTAAACTGCTGCAATCTGCATTAGATACTGTTCAGTCCCGTCTGGCTGGGCTTAAACTGGTTTTGAATGCAGAAAAATCAAAGGCTATGCTATTTTTAAATGGTAAGCAGCTTCCACCTATCCTCCCCAGCTTGTCAACTGCTCAAGGGGCTGAAATTGAAGTTGTCAGGTGCTACAAATATTTAGGTATTCTGATTGATGAGAATCTAACCTTTAAATCTCATATTGATAAACTGGTTTCTAAACTAAAACTTAAATTGGGTTTTTTTTTTTTAGAAACAAAAAGTGTTTGTCACACCAAGTCAGAAGGCGCGTGATTGTTTCAGCTGTTCTGCCCCTGGTGGATGATGGAGATCTGATATTTATGAACTCTTCAGGCCAGCTTTAGAAAAGCATGGAGGCTGTGCATCATTGAGCCCTGTGTTTCTGACGGACTGTGTCCATCGAACACTTCACTGCACTTTGTGTGCTACAGCAAAATGTCCCTCTTTGACTGACCGCACACCTTCTCACTTGTTGGTTTTTGTCTATAAATGCATCTTGGGCATCTTCCTACATATTTATGTTCACTTTTATCTAGAACTTTTAACCATTATAGTCTGCGCTCTCAGGACATCATTTTGATGCAGGTCCCAAAGGTCAGAACTGAAGTGGGTAAAAAGGCTTTTAAATATTTCGCCCCTGCCACTTGGAATATTCTGCAGAAGGATTTAAAGTTATCATCTCTTGTTACGTTGGGACAATTTAAACCAACTCTAAAGCAACGAGAGCTCAGATCTCTTGGCTCCTGGAACTGCTCTAATGTGTAATTATGTGATT